GATTTTTGTTGAGATAGAGTGGTAGAGCAAAGTGTTAGGGCTGCATGGCCCTCCAAACAGAGTGTTATGAGAAAAAGGAAAAGTAATGGTTGAGCAAGGGACCAAGGAAACCTACAAATGTGAGTTTTTTTGTCAAAACAAAATTACGATAACCATTGTATTATCTTGGTTTAATGTCGTTTTGATGTATTATGATTCTTTACCTCATAACAAGCATAAAAAATCGCTAGTAGTTTGCTAATGTCTTGGTAGCTAGCTAGCTAAATTTCCTGTTCCACCTTTAATTGTCCAGCAGTACTGACGCATAATGCACTATAATGTAACTGCTGCTCTATTTATGGTGGAACAGGAAAATTCGAACAAGAACCTAGTGAATAGCTGACTTCAGCTTCATATCACTCAAAAATTAGGGGCGGGCAATAATAATAATAATGGTCACATTCCCCCTATTTAAAGGTATATGATTCCCTAAATGTAACTAAAGCCCAGTAGTGAGGTTGCTGAACTTTACCCTCCTCTGCTATCACTGCAGACTGGCAGGGTCACCTACAGAGCACCGCTAGTAGCCTGTTAATGAAGTAATGTTCTTTTTTATTTGAGGTCCCATTTCATAGGGGAAGATTTCAGCCATTACCCCTTGTAACTCAGTTCCAAGGGGCAAGGTGACACTCAAAAACAAAGGGTAAAATTAAGAAATAGGATTGGGCCAAAATATATGCCTGTTTGCAGTCACAAATTGGTCACAATTTTGGCCAGTATGAATTAAAATGCCCAAAATCATAGTAAACACATCTTGTTAATGACAAATACAGGAAAAAATCATTATGTATGCTAGAGAAATGAAAATTCAGATGCATTATTTTATAACTGTGTCCTGGCACCCTAAAACTAAATTGAATCAAAACATGAGGTACCTGGAGATTCCCATCCCTAATATTTGGTTATTTTTAAAGCTGCACTAAGCAAATTTTGGAGACCTCTCTGGTGGAAATGTGTAATTTCACACAACATGCAGAAGAACATTTTGTAGTATGGGTTGTGCTTTGGCCCCCTTCCCCAAGCAGATGAATCTGATGATTGAAAGAGTATTCAAAGAGAACTCAGTCAAAACTTGGTGAAGTATGCGTCTTTTGAGGATGTGAGTGAATTATCTACTGTTGTCATCATATCTTCATCAGTATAATTAGTTAATTTTGAAATCATCTGAGACCTAAACTTCACGCTTTTTTTTTGAGTCTGTGTGTGTAACGTTAATATGTAAAGATGTACGACGTGGTGTGAAAAACTCCCGACCCGACGTCTCTGATTTTTAAAAGACTATTTCAGGCTTTACAGGGTGACTCGCAGCAGTGCACGTTCACCATATTTTAGAGTGTAAATGTAAAAATCTCACTTTTTTCAGTTTTACAACAAAATCTTACGTAGTGCAACTTTAAACAATGGTCAAAGTTGGCATGAAAGGGAAATCAAAGCTCTTTCTCCTTCTGTACTGTGAAGTAGGTGAGGGTTGTGGGAGGGGGAGGTGAAACATGATATTACTGGTAAATTATATTTTGCCCTGCCTGCTGGTGCATGGTGACATCATCAAGAAATCAGAACCCATTTTAGAAGTGGGCCTAAAGTCCTTATATTTTTATGGACAATTACAGGAAAACAAGAATTTTGTCTTTGAAATGATCATGTATAAAATGACCAGGAACATGAACTAACAAGGTAAAATGTTTATTGTTCTGACTATGATTAAATAAATGTTATCACAGTCATTTTTAATTTGAAAAAAAAAATGAAGCTGGAATATATTTTTGGCATGAACAAGCAAAGCAGTGCAAGGAATAAACATCAGACTTCAAACATGTTGTTAGTCTGATTAAACAAATGCTTCCCACATCTAAAGTAAGCTTTTAATGGTTGGATTGCTGGTCTGAATGTACACTCAGCATCTTCAGAAACTGCATTATTTGGTGGTTATAATATTTACATCCTTCATTTCATCAAGCATATATTTAGTGTTTTGTTATATTTATCATTTATATATAAGTGTTTTGTTGCCATCTTAGGGGTGCTGCATTAAACGCTGCTTGCGTTTTTCTTGTCAGCAGTCAGTTTTCGCACATGTGCAGACTGAGAAATCCGAAAGAAGTCAGAGTAAGAGTTTACATGCACTGAGAAATCTGATTACTGAGCTAAAATCCAGCTGTCTTTATTAGATTTCTTAATCAGATTTCTAGACCTTACTCTGATCTAAGAAATCAGAGTATGCTGTTTACATGACCATTTGAAGAATCAGATAACTGCAGAAACCCAATTATGAAGAGATTATTAAGTGCATCCAAAGGCACTCAGTGTCTCAGACATCAGTGTATTTATAACATTTAATGTAACTTTCTGTGAGGGAGTTTTTAGAGGCGGACGTCTAGTTCCTATCACCAGCACTGTGAACAATTCTGACTCAGTAAGTTTCTCTAGAACAGAGCATTTCACACCCAACCAGTCTGAATGACTCTGTTTACATCTCAACCATTTAATCTCACAGAGATGTTTTCCCCTTTAACGTGCAGACATCGAAGTTTAGCTTCTATATCAATTTCCGTTAAGCATTAATACAGACCTACTTCACTCCCGGACGTTCAGTAGTGAAGAAAAAAAAAGTGAAATTTTGTGGTCAGCTGGTGGCGGTTCAGAAGGGCCTCTTCCTGCTGGGCTGCAGTTAAAGCGCATGGTGACGCGTCAATCTGAAAAAAATGCTTAAAGCCTGAATAAAAACAGCCACAATGTGATTATCAGTTATAAAACAGATAAGCTTGTATCACCAGCCGCTCTCTGAGTGAAGGTATGTTTGCCCCTCCGTAATTTCTTTTTCCTAATTAATCCAGCTGCTGGATCTGAGTGATTCCTCAGAGAGAGAAGAGATCAGCTAGAGTTTAATAAGAGCAGAGAGGTGGAGCTGATGACAGGCCGTGAGGACGATGAAGATGAAGGGATGAAGGTTACCTCCTTCACCGCCCATCTGAAGACAAGGGAAGTTTTTATGGGAGGGAGTAGAGAGAGGGAGAGACAGAGAAAGGGAGAGAAAGAATGAGTGAGAGACAAAAGGAGAGAGAAACTAGGAGATAAAGAGAACGAGAAGAAAAAGAGTAGAGGAGAAAGAATGAGAGACAAAAGAGTGAAAGAGAAAGGAAGAGATGAGCAGAGAGAGAGAGGAAAAAGAAAGAAAGAAAAACATACAATAAAAAGAAAAAGGAGGAAGACAGAGAGCAGGGGAGAAAGAATAGAAGAGAGAGAATAAGTAAGAGAGAGACAAACAAGAGAAAAGAAGAGCCAGTAAGAAGGAGGAGAGAGGAAGGAGGAGAGAGGAGATAGAAAGAGACAAGGAGAGAGAGAAATGAGAGAAAAAAGGAGAGAAGAGGAGGAAAGAGCAGTGGAGAAAGAATGCGTTAGAGAAAGAAAGAAAGTGAGTGAGAGAGAGACAAGAGGTAGAAAGAGACTAGGAGAGAAAAGAAGGAAGAAAGAGCAGGGGAGAAAGAGAATGAGCGAGAAAAAGGAAGAAAGGGAAAGAAAGAAAGCGAGTGAGAGAGACAAGCAAAGAGAGAGAAAGAAACTAGAGAAAATAGGAAAGAGAGGAGGAAGAAAGAAAGACCAGGGGAGAAAGAGAATAGAAGAGAGAGTATGAGTGAGAGAGAAAAGAAGAGACAGTAAGAAAGAAAGCGAGCACGAAAGAGTAAGAAAGACAAGGAGAAAGAAATGAGAGAAAAGAGGAGAGAGAGGAGATAGAAAGAGAGAGACGAGGAGAGAGAGAGAAAAGAGGAGAGGAGGTAGAAAGAGAGCAGGTGAGAAAGAATGAGTGAGAGAGAAAGGATAAAGAAATTGAGAAAGAGGAGAGAGAGAAAGAGAACGGGAGAAAAAAGAGAGAGAGGAGGAAGAATGAGCAGTGGAGAAAGAGAACTAGTGAAAGAGAAAGGATAAAAGAGAAAGAAAAGCAAGAGAGAGACAAGAAAAGAGAGAAACTAGAGAACAGAGGAAAGAGAGAGAGAAGGGGAGAGAGAATGAGTGAGAGAGAGACAAAAGAGTGAAAAAGAAAAGGATTAATAAGGATTTTATTTCAGCTGTTTTTGGACTGTTTCTGCCAGTTTCTCAGTTCTTTACCAGCCATTCATCAAATTAAAAGTTTTAAACCAATCAATTCACTCTTCGGTCCATAAATGGAAACTAAGCTGCCAAAACAACCTATTTTGAATTAATTAATTTTTGTAATGTCACAAAAAACAGCACATTTAAATACATCCTCCTATTCAGCCTATAGCTGTTTAGCTCCGCCCACTCACACTGAGGTTATAAGGAGTGTGTCAGCCAGCTTTTCAAATTCAAATATAAGTAAACTTCAAGAAAAAAAGAATAAAATACAAGAGAAACGTATAATATGGGTCCTTTAAGGCTGCGTGTCTTCAGTCCTGCAGTTCCACTTCCGTTAGAGTCATGCTGTTGGGCTATGGGGGGTTGGAATGGGAGGCTGTAACTGAAGCCTGTGTGTGTGTTCAGAAGTCCGTACACCACCTGCTGTGCATCGAAGTCTCTTGGAGGAGTCATTAGTGAAGGTTTGGGCCCGATACACGCCCGCGTGCGCTCTGCTAGCGCAGCTGCAGCGCTTCCACTAGCAGTAACTGTGACGGAGGTTTTTAATGGTATTGGCAACCACTGGAGTGGGTAGATTCTGTGCCAATTTGGCAACACGAGGTGAACTGTGTGTCTAATGCCAGGGAAGTTTGCTGTCCATAGATTTTAGGGGGTTATTAATACAAAATAAAAAGGAATAATTTGATAAGTGTGTGTGTGTATATACATATATATATGTGTGTGTGTGTGTGTGTGTGTGTGTGTGTGTGTGTGTGTGTATGTGTGTGTGTGTGTTAATGATCATACCACGTTTGAACTGATGTTGCGATAATTCATTTGTCTGTTTTTATGTTCCTTTCTTTCCTGTTTGTGTCAACACAATCCAATAGAGCTCGGAAGTAAGTCCCTCCGCCCCTGCCTACAGATACACACTCTGCTGTGTGCATGCGACTGAAAGCTTGTCTTTCTACCCAACAATCTTAATCCACACCACAATTCAACTCCCTCATTTGATAAGTGAAATTCATACTGTTTTTCTTCATTATTTCCTTTAAATAGCGCTGATGTTATCACAGGCAGTTTATGATACATACACTACCATTTTAAAGCTTGGAATCACAGTTCATATCACAGTTCAATATATAAAACTAGGGATGTGCCAGTGTGGGAACTGGGGGCTGATGCCGATATCTGATATTGTTAGGTATCCAATGCGTAAATGTGAATGTAAATGTACCTGCATCTACCTGGATTAGCATTACAGAGAAATATATCATCGCTGTCAGGACTTGTATCTCCAAAATGACAACTTTACTACAGGAAAAGGAAAAAAACTATTTTAATTTTATTTTAATAGAATTTTAATGAAATTTAATGTAAAAAGATTTTATTCTGAATAATTTTGGACCGTTTCTCTCATACCTTTCATCATGAACTTTTCACACAATGTAAAAGTCAGCTGACATTTTCAGATTATGCAAAAAAAATGAAGAAAAATTGGGGATTTTTGTTCTGACAGCAACAGTATTATTTTATTTCGATTAAGGTTACAAATTCTGCAAAATGAAAAATACAAATATTTAGGCACAGTGATCCAGCGTCATGTTAACACTCTGGAGTTCAATAAATACACCATCAAAAATTGGTTTAAAATATCATATTTGTTCAAAAATAAATAGATGTTTAAATTTAATTCCAACATTTATCTTGTAGCAAATATCTGCCAACACTGATATCATGGCAATATCATCATGCATCCCTATGTAAAAGCAGTTTAGTTGCAGGTACATATACAACATGATTGTAATATGATGCTAACATCTTTAAGGTTTGTAGGAATTTGTAAGAAGCTGTAAAATTTAGGAATTTTTTTTATGATGAACAGAGCTGTAGATGATTGAGAATGCTATATAGCATCACTATTGAGCTTATGATTTATGAAAAACGTCTCATATTCAAAAATCTCACCTATCAAATAGCTATAGCTGCATAGTCATTTTGTGACAAGAAATTCTTATAAATAGGTAATTACATTTTATTAAGATTTACTGTTTTCATCATGTCATAACTTCTTGTCATTCCCAAAGTCTTTTGAATTGTGAATAAATCATCAATTTACATTTTGGTTTCTAGTTTAGAACATTTGACTCTACACTGTAGATCTGAACAACTATTATTATGACAAGTGATTCCAAACTTTTGAGCTGTTTTTCTGTGGTAGCCCATTTTCAATTTACATAAAAATATCCACATTAAGCTTACTCATTCACTTTGTCTAAACAAAGCATTGCGCAGGTCTACCAGTTTCACTCTACTTATCACACCTAATTACAACCCAGACTTCTTACCAGTTTGTACACCTTTTTCCAAATGAATTTCAATTATTAATGATGGAGGGTGTTTTTTCCTGCCATTGCTGCATGAGTGTGATGATTTAAATCCTTTAATCAGACAGACACTGATTAAACTCGACCTGACTTTGCTTCCATGAACCAAAGGATGACTGCTAAAGCTACAGCAAAAGCTGTAGAGTGGCCCTCCCCATAATAACACACTGCCTGTCTACTTCCACCAACCCTACTGTCCGCTAAACTACTATGGTGGTTCATCTTTGGGCTTGTGGAACCAGATTTGTGGCTGGAGATCCATCTGCCTCTGCCTTTCCTTTCATTTTTTCCTCCTCAGCGGCCGGTAGGAAGAAGTCCTACTGAAATGTGTACATACTGAATAAGTGCAGGGTCTGTGGCTAAGCTAGGAGCAGTAGTAACTTTGCTAATCACATAATTACAATACCAGAGTCATATATATTAAACAGTCTTAAAGAAATAGTTTGGACACGTTTTTCCCCTCACCCCAAACATAGTCAGTCAGCCAAGACACGTTTGGCATCTGAAGTTTGCTTACTGTAGCTATCAGGCTAATGTGCTGATCTAAGCTGGTTTATGCTTGTTTAACTGGTTATCCAGCATGTCCACACTGGTTGACCAGCATACCAGAATCCAAAATACAACTATGCTGGTCTACTGTTTTTTCTTGCAGGGGTAGCTAACAATTAGCTTTGTGCAAACTACATACCTAATTCACCACATAATTGCCTCAAACCATGTGTTAAGTAATATCAAATAAACTTGCTTGTGTGATACTGTTTTAACACACTTAGCTGTAAAATGGACAAAAGTACATACAAGATTCAAGGTTCAAAATGACCACTACTGCTGTTTTTAGCAATGCTACAGTACTTTGTCCATTTATTTAGATAACAGTCTGTCATACAGTGTCAGAAACCACAGAAGCAAACAGTTTGAACCAAGTGTGTGATGATTTAGACATCCAGTTACATAATGCTAACTGTTAGCTATTTTAGCATAGCTCCAGCACAAAACTAAAGTTATAAGCTTCCATTGCTTGTTAGCAACATTAGCCTTGTAAAAGTAAAGAAGCAAACTTCAGGCACCAAACATGTCTTGGCTGCTAAAACTATATTGGGGTAAGGTTTTATGTGTAAACTGTGTAAATTTATGGAGTGCCGCTTGTGACATTCTTTCTTAACAAAATTAACTAGTGGCCACAACTTACTAAGGCATGAGAATGACTTCACCATCACAACTTAATTATCTTGTTTCCACACCTTACTAAGTAATAGGCAAGCTGCAAAAAAATGCGTATTGAATTCACTGACCAGCACATTTACATATGTGCTCCTATGCAGCCCATAGATGTTTAGCCCCGCCCACTAATACTGAAGTCATGAGGAGTGTTTCAGCTTGGATTGCTTTTTGAATGAGGCACAATACAGGACAGCCAATCCGAAAAAAGATCATGTGTGTATGTCAGTCTTAAAGGTACAGTAACAAAGCCTGTTTAATTCTAAGGGATAAAGGGAGGTTGTAAGATGGTCATGTACAAATGAGTTATAAAGTCTTTGGTAAATAAAACCACACATATGTTATAATTGAACAAAATTTTGGAAAAATACGGATGTAGCTAAGTTGCTTCCACATTTTATTAAGAAGGGATGTCACCAGCAGGGCTCCACATAAACTTGATTTTTAACTATTACTATGAACTAGATAATTCCCTAAAGAGCAAGGACTCAATGAGTGGTGTGGATTTGTTAGTGTTTAGTTCAGCTTGGGTCCAGCAGGTGGCACATCAAATAGTGTGGGATTTGTGTAAGTGGCCTACAGGAGCAGTGAAGGCCAAGTGGGGAATGAAGTTTGTTGGCTCAGTGTGTTTGTGGGTGTGTATGTGTGTGTGAAGGTCAGAAGGAGCCTGAGGGACATTCCTGCATGTCGCTCCCCCCGACACCACAACCCACGCCGTTCTGCTTTAGGCCCAGAATGCACTGCTTCCTTTCTCCCCCCGGACAGCAGGAATCAACACGCTCAAGTGCCTCTGTAAATTAGCAGGCAGAAAAAATAAAACAAGTTACTAAACACCCCCTTAAACGCAGCCCAGCGTCACTACCCCAACACTATAGTGCAAAATCTCCAGCTCGTGTCCCTGAACAGATATGAACAGATATGAATAGATATGTATCAGAGTTTCTGCTGCAGGATTGCATGATTAATGACCCCTTCAAAGCGGAGGAGTGTTGTTTTGAAACTCCAATACCTATTAAAGCTGGACATAAACCTTGTATGTAGTCAATAACTTGAACGCACACCCAATGGTCTGTGAGAGACTTTATCTATCTGGTAGCAGCCATCCAACTGTGAAATGAACGGAGACAAAACACGTCGGCCCTCGAAATGCCATCTGCTCAGCAGGATTAAAGGGACCTTTCCCCAAATGTTTGTGATTTGCCGTGAAGATAACTTCTCTCATTCTGATGCTTATTTTTGTGGCTCCCCTTGGTCGCTGCTGCGGTACAAGCTTCCACGCTTGTCTTCCATTCTGGAGCTCTTTTTTTACCCTTAGCATTGCTGTGTGGTACCTATTTTGTCTCCCTCTGCTGGCAGTCTTCATCATTGCATCCCTGCTTTGTGAACAGCAATGTGAGAAGCTTGTTACATCTGGGCCAATTACCCACCATTCCCCAGAGGGCCTTCATATTCTCTCCTCTCTGATCTGTGTCATCCAATTCGCACATGCTAATTAGCACATTTAGTGCAATATCTCTGCCCTAATCAATCCCCAAACTGTCGCCTTTCCTCCGAAATGAAACACTCAAAGCATGATTCAGCCCCCCCTCCAGTGGTACAACTGCATGGCTGTTCCGCTCTGGCTACCTCTCTCTCTCTATCTCTCTCACTCTTTCTCTCTTTTTTCCACTCCTCCAAGCTAGCATAAGGCTGCTTAGCCAGCCAAGTGCCTGGCAAACGCTGCCTCGTAGCTCAAAGTGCGCTTCAGTTTTCTATTTCGAATGCCCTTGAGGATGAAAGGGGACCACGCTCGCTTTAGTTAAGATAAGTAGCTCAGAAGAAACCTAATTAAATAGAGGATTTGAATAATTAATGGCAGTGGTATGGATCAGGCTAAGTGGGTTGGTTTAGCTGCCACGGCACGCTAATCTTTCCCCCTCTTAACATTACAGCTGCTGTTAGCTACAGCGAAGCAACACATTCATAATAGTTTCACAGAAATTAATTCTCTTTTCTAGGTTAGGGGGTCATATTGATCAAACTTCTCAGATAAGCAAAAGCTAATCTAAGGTCAGAGGTTTTTTTGTCTTCATGTCCACAGAGGAGGAGCTTTTTTTCTTCAATGATCAATATAGCCACAGGATAGGGGTTGAAAAAGTACCTCAGAGCAGGAATTAAGGGTCAGTCACAGATTCTAATCTCGTTATTTATTATTATTATTTTTTTAGAATATTCTGCTTATCCAGGATAGAATCTGTTATGGTTGTGATGTCACAAACATTCCAAAGGGTTTAAGTCGCAAAGTAAGAAGCATTATAAAGGCATAAATTAAGCATAAATTAATAAATAAAAGTAAAATTAGACTTGAGTTTAAGTGGTAATTCCTGAACTACTAAAAATTCTCATCAATAATACTTTTTTTCATTCTAATAACCAGTAATACACCATGAAAATAACTGAGCTACTTCAAAAATATGTCCTTTAAGCAACATTTCCCAACAACCAGTTTTTATAGAATTCATTGTGGTTCTGACGTCACAAACATTCGAACTGTGTAAAAATGTTAGTATAAAACATGCATAAGTATAAATAAAGTATAAATTAGTGAATAAAAGTTAAACTAAATATACAAAAAGTATAGATAAACTAGTGAGAGCTGATTCTTGAAAGAACGTTCCCTAAAATTAGGTCCCTTGAGAAAGATATATGCTTCCTTTTCTTGCACCCTCTAAATCTACGTCTGTCCAACCCAAACCTGAAACGTCTTCAAATGTCCTTTTTATTGTGATTCATGGTAAAATTTGATTAGAAATTGTGAATAGACAGTCACACAGTACCTTTGCATTGTATGTGCCACTTTTACCTCGTCTGAGTACAATCTCTCATAGGTTAGACTATATGGGTGAGATCCACTGCAGTGGACTGTCCATTCCTGCCCTCTGTAATGGACACTTGCATGCTTTCTGCCCACCACGCTCCCTCTTGCAAGCCCTGCATCTTCTCTCATCTCCTGTGCATGTCCCTGGACTGCTTCTGCCTTCCAATGTGTACATGCCTTGCAAATGGACAGCATAAGACTGAAAGTTTTTGTTGATTTATTTAATAAATAACTGACCACTTGCCTGTATTGGGCTCTCAATGGCCTTGTGTTCAGATTAAGAAGTGTTAAAATGGAGCAACGGAAGCTGAATGACCAAGCAAACTCTCTAGTGGACCTCGCAAAGGTAAGAGTGACCATGAACCCCCAGTTAAAACCCCCCACACTAATTCTACAGGAGTCTGTAGGAGTGAATGTAATACCGCTGCATGTTATAGAGAATATAGGAGTTTATTTCATAGCTTATTGAGATTTCTAATCAGATAAAGATGTGTAAGTCTACAGGTGTCAAATGAACAGACTTAAATAGCTCTTATGTGAAGGTTCTCTTGTCCTGTATTGTTGCTTGCCTTGGCACACGTCCTGTGTTCTTACTTTGTTTGATTATTTCTATGTTGCCATTAGTTTTGTTTTGTCTGTTGTGTATCTGTGCACCAAAACGTCTGTCTGGAAATCTGTTCACTATAATGTCACTGTGGAAAACATGATTTTAAAGGGCCTATATCATCATGGAAAACCAAATTCTCCTTACTTTTTCTATTAAATAAAAGAGTTTGATGTACTATGGACAATAATATATCACAATATATTTTCTTTATACACATTATATATCATAATATTTAGGTTTTCTGTGGTTTGTTAAGTTGTGTCAGACAAGAAGAACCGGTAGTGCCACATTTTAAAACATATTCTTTAAAAACTATGAATACAATGACTTTTATACTTATCACATACTGCACTAATTATGCTCTCTGTGTCATGAAACCTGCAGTTTCTCAGTGCTCTTTGATTACTTATATTCACAATGAATGAGCATATTTTAACATAAATATCATCATATTGCCCAAACCTAAAGGAAACACTGTTGAAAGTTCCAAGCATCTCCAGTCAGTACAGTCTATGTATGGAATCCACAAAAACTGCCTGTCTTGAATTCATCATGGTTGTGACATCATAGCCTTGAGGACACGTACAGAACTGTGCAAAACTCAGTCAGCGTCCTTCATTTATTCAATTTCCAGTCAAAACCGCCATTAAGTATTATATAGTTTCTATTCTTTTCAGGAGACTCGCTTTCAGTTTCTCAAAGACATCTGCCGACACACCTCCAAAGTTCAGTCTTAGAAGTTGGTTGACCATCTCTGAAGTAATCAAACACATTCCGTCTCCTTTTCTCAGTGAGGCTTCTGGACAGCTACACATCCTTTCAGACCCACAGCACTGAGTTGTCTTCTCACAGTGGAAGGATGGACAGAAACACCGGTGGATGTTTTCAGATCTGAAGCAGCTTGATTTTCTCCTCTCTCTCAAAGATGAAAGCTTTAAGTGCTCTTTATCTGATGGGGACAGTTTTTATGTCTACGAGGCTTTACAGGTGGTTGTTAGGAGTAACATTTTCTATTTAATAATAATTTTAAATAATTTTTTGAACTCCAGTTTTAGAAGCTCCTGCTTTGAGTTTCCTTCCTTATGCAAGCAGATTAGCTTATATCTAATTACCTTATATCTAAATCTAATTGCCTCAGACATACCTCCTAATGAATAACTTGTCCTTAAAGGCTGTTTTGACTGAAAATTAAATAAACAAACGGTGGTCTCTGACGTTTGCACAGTACTGTGCAATATCACGACACTTTGCTCATTACATAATATACATCAAGATACTTAAGTTTTTCTGAGGTTTGATAAGTTGGACCAAACAAAAAAAAAGAATGAGGCACAATATAGGACAGCCAATCAGAGCATTTTCATATATCAGTCTTGAAGGCACAATAACAAAACCATCCTGTTTATTTCTAAGGCATAAAGAGAGGTTGGAAAATGGTCATATAAAAATGAATTCTGAATGTTTTTGGTGCATAAACACATACACACGCTATAAATGAACCAAGAAAAAAATTAAATACAAAAAAATGTAAAATATAAACCTTCAGCACATCTGAACCTCATCACTCGCAGTTTTCTCAGCTCTTTGCAATGCGTTAACAAGAAATGACACACCGCAGGGAATACCAGGCACGCTGCCTGCCTGACTCCGCACAAAAAACACAGCAACCTGGGAAGGGAGATACTGCAGGATCTGATGAATCAGCTTAAACCCCTCCCCCTTCCCAACCCCCTCCCTTACTCTTTCTCCTTTTTCCCTCTCTTTCATGTACACTGTGCTCTGACATGCGGCTGACCCCGGTGGTCGTGTCATAGTTGGCTGTGTCGTGAGAGCCATTAGCATTAGCTAATGTCACCGCGTCGTCCCCTCTGTTCCTCTTAATGGAGAAACGTTAGACGGTGACATTGAGGAACAAGGTGGCGAGTCGTGACTCAGACTCGTTTGCGCCCTCTTTTGTCGCTGCTGTAATTGCCTCCCTCCATCAGAGGCTGATACAGTATTAATCCTAACAGCAGATGCTTTCACAAGCAGAGCCGAGTATAATGAAGCCTAAAATAACTCCGGCAGCTACGCAACTTCTGCCTCCTTCACTCAAACACAGACTTGCTGATGTGCAAGAGCTGTCCTTTTTTTCCTCCTCGGGTGCGCATTACTTTTCGTGTCTTCGCACAAAAAAAGCTTATAATGAATAATAATAATAATAATAATAATAATAATCTATTTATGATCTATAATGATAATAAATCTTTATTTATGTAGCACCTTTCATACGTAAAGTGCTGCTCAAAGTGCTTTACAGTATAAATAAAGAAAACAGTAAGACGGTGAACAGCAGACAATATTTGTTTAAAGCTGCACTATGTAAGTTTTGGGGATTTGGAGACCTCTCTGGTGGACATGTGTAATTGCACGCAATGTGTTGAAGAATACCTCGGACCCCTTCCCCGAGCAAATAATTATGGTGATTGTAAGTGTGTTGAAACAGATCAAAGCGAACTCACAAAACTTGGTGAAGGATGTGATTGAGTGAATAGCCTTCTATTGTCATCATATCTTCATCAGTATAATGTTGGTCAATCACTGATTTTTAAGTTTCTACATACAGGGGCTAACCTCTTCAAATGTCTGGTTCCTAGCACCACCACTGTGAGAAACTTAATTATGCAGAATCTTTTAAAAATCAGTGACATTCCCCTGTAACACATAAAGACATATGATGTGATCTGAAAAGCTCCCCTGAAATCCAACCCAACACCTCTGACTTTTAACTGATTATTTCAGGTTTTACTGTCCTGACTCAGTAATGTTACTTCTTTTGAAAGACGTAGAGAAATCAAGAAGGCATTAAAGTCAGAAACAAAATGGAATAAAAATGAAAGTTAGAACAGTAAAACGAAACAAGACTGTAAATAAATACAAAAGAAACAATATTTTAAAAAATCAACTAAAAATCCTAAATTTTCTTTTAAAAGTAGTAAATTAAGACGCCTGGACTGGGTTGCACTGGTTTTGCTTAAGTTATACAAAAGTTACAGAAATTTGGTCGCATCACAAATCCTTACATCTTGTCTTAGCTAGTAACAACTATCTAATGCGAATGTTGCTATAACGTGATGAAAACATGTTCAGATCCAATCTATAAGCCCGTTGCCATGGAAATGCAAAAGCAGCCTGCGCTACCTGTTTCCATGGAAAATATCCAGTATAGAGGAACAAAATTGTACAAATTGAACTAAATAAGACTAAATAGCTGTTGCCATTATCTGTTTTTTCTTTTAATATTTTCTCATGACAACCAAACATATGATGATTTCTGGCTTACTGATTTGAAAATTGCAGAAATTTTGAAAAATTGTTGGAATCCCCCCCTTTTAAGAGTTCCAAATCTTTGGTGCATAGTAACAGAAGACTGCTTTACCAGTATTTTTCTGCTTCATGCTCAGAACATTTAATAAAGCAGATTTTAAGACCAGATCAGGAACACAGTCTGTCAGGCATTCTGAAATGATAAGAGCTTTCAGGGAAAACAGTTACAGTCTTAAAATCAGTTCAGAATACAGATAAATGGGTTCAGCATAAAATTTCACATTCACAGGGTCAGTTAGGGTAAATCTCAGGCTCATGTTTTGGATGAGCCGTTATTCTGTCCCAGTCAGTCTCGCGGGGGAAATGTTTTGGGATTTCAGACCCATTTTTAAGACAACTGTTTACAGCCATGATGCAACTAAATGAAATACCTTAAAGTGATGCCTGTAACTAACACTGTTTTTTAGAACTGGGACATGGCGAATATTGTTGGATTCACACTGTGAGTCCTGCAGTGACGCCTGGATCCAGTATACATTTACTCTGGAATGGAGTGGATATCCCTCAATTGTTGGTATCATGATAGAGAAAGCAGGGGCAGATTTAGCTTCCTCACACAAGCCCCCTAGTGGTGCATATGCTGGCGCCTAAACTTTAAAAGACAGTTTTCTGCTTATTAAAATGTGCGCACTTGTGGTTGTGATGTCGAGGGCTTTACTTTGGTTACAGTAACACATCAAATGTGTGAAAATGAAGCGGCGATGATACTGCCTGACCTGCAGCTCCAGAATGCTGCCTTAACCCCTTTGAAATCCCAGGCGTATTACATTCTAAGGCTTATTATTCAATAACTACCAGGACTGCAAACTGGCTAGGCTGTTCTTTGGTTATAGAAGTGTGTAATAAAACTTTAGGCCCTGGCCGTGAGATGCAGGGGCAGTGGGCCTTATTCCAAAACAGGAACTAGGCCTTGAATTTACCATAACTTTCTCAAGGCACAGCACTGAAAATAATTGCTACAGTTGCAAATAAAAGCCTTTTTGGGATGTTGTATATTTTAGCATAGGTTATTTTATATGGGTATATATCTGGGATGCCCCAGAATGCCATCCAAAATAGAAACAAGGCAGAAAATGTCACCTGAAAAAAAAAGCAAAAGATTAAATAAAATACCTTATTATACAACCCCATTTCCAAAAAAGTTGGGATGCTGTGCAAAATGTAAATAAAAACAAATTGCAATGATGTGCAAATCATTTAAACCCTCTATTTAATTGAAAATAGTACAAAGACAACATATCAAATGTTGAAACTGAGAAATTTTATTGTTTTTGAAACATATATGCCCATTTTGAATTTAATACCAACAACACGATCCAAAAAAGTTGGGACAAGGGCAACAAAAGGCTGTTAAAGTTGTGTAATGCTAAAAAAACACCTGGTCGTTTATTGGCAACAGGTCAGTAACATCACCGGGTACAAAAAGAAGTTAAGATGAGGAGGGGTTCACCACTCTGTGAAAGAAATAACGTTTCTCAATGTAAAATAGCAAAAAACGTTTGATTTTCCTCATCTACAGAACATAATAAAATTAAAAGATTCAGAGAATCTGGAGAAATCTCTGTATGCAAGGGACAGGGCCAAAAAACAGTAATTGCTGGCCATGATCTTTGGGCCCTCAGGCAGCACTGCATTAAAAACAGACATGATTCTGTAGAGGAAATCACTGCATGGACTCAGGAACACTTCTGAAAACCACTGTCTGTGAACACAGGTTATCACTGCATCCACAAAAGCAAGTTAAAACTCCAAAACACAAAGAAGAAATCATATAGAAACAGGATCCCGAAATGCCGCTGCCTTCTCTGGGCCTGAGCTCAATTGAAATTCACTAAGGCAAAGTGGAAAAGTGTCCTGTGGTCCGACAAATCAACAAATGAGCCCCTGAACTGTTGAGCAGCTGAAATCCAATATGAAACCAGAACAGTTCAAACTGAAAAACATTCCACTTTGAAAACTACAGCAGTCAGTCTCCTCAGTTCCCAAATCCTTACAGAGTGTTGTTAAAAGAAGAGGTGATGAAACACAGTGGTAAACAGGCTCCCGTCCCAACTTTTTTTGGAACCTGTTGTTGGCATCAAATTCAAAATGGGAATTTATTTTTCAACACAATGAAAAAAAACAAGAAATAAATTTCTCAGTTTTAACATTTTATATGTCTTTGTAGTATTTTCCTTTAAATATGGTTTACACAATTTGCACATCATTGCATTCTATTTTTATTTACATTCTGCACAGCGTCCCAACTTTTTTGTAAATGGGGTTGTATATAAAAGGACTCTTTCTTGCAGTTTTCAGTTTCAGCCGAGTTCATAGAATTTTGGTTTTGGATTTGATCTAGAATTTTTCCTTTTAGTGCACCACCAGTACATACCAGTGGGGAACCACTGTAAGTGACAGTAGTTTGGGCCATAAATGTCAAAAATAAGAACTCTGCAATGATGCTGCTATGATTTCCGCTAATGCCCGTGTGAGATTTCTCATAGTATGTTAGCACTAATGTCACGTGACATGAAATGGTACATGTGATAACTTTTTTTTTAAGTACATGAAAAATAACATAATATAATATAAATATAAATGCCATATTTAAGTGTGTTTAGAAAATGCCATATTTAAGTGTGTTCACTTATTTTTTACTCAGAAAATTGACTAAACATGTCATTTAACCAGGGTTGTTCAGACTTTTGAATACAACTGTAGTTAATCTAACAAATGTAAGGCCTTCAGTTCAACTCCTGAAGTCCTAACCAATGGAAGAGACCACAGGGAAATGTCCTGATTTTACAGTTTTTCTGTAGACTGTGTACAGAATGTACCACTTTTGTCTCCAACCAAAACTTTATGGTAAAATGAGAGTACCATAAGCCTTACAGAGTTTAAATACAATAAGCAGGATGATTATATTGATTAAATGAACCCAAAATTACAGTCTTGTATTTTTTTATTTCACAGAAATCATTGAGCATTCTCTGAAGGCCTAGGAGGCCCTGAGGGTTCTCCACTGCTGATTAGTATTTTTATGGAGCTTCTAGGGACCTTAGGTGGTTGCCTATCTTTGCCTAGAGCAAAGTACATCCCCTAGGAAAAAGGCTATAAATCTGTTTTTGGTCACGTTTTTGTGATTATTTGATTGGCTGGAACAAAAACGACTGAACAGAGCCCACTGCAGAGTCTCTGTGTATCCTGCTGGTGCTCTGAGCTGGAACTACACACACACACACACACAACACACACAACGCACACACACAGTCACTGGAGCGTTTCTCTCAGAGACTTCAGAGCTGATGAAAGCTCTACTGCAGAAAATCAGCTTACAAAACAACACCTCATCCCAGCCCAACAGGCAGCACTGCTCACAACAGCTCACAGCCTGCATTATTTACAGCTTTAGGCTCAACACAGAGACGGAAGTGTTCTCAACGTCCCTTTGTTTAGCAGTTGTGTAGTTCAGCTGTGCTCCAGTGACAGCGGTTAGACAAAACCAAGGATAAGCGTTTTTCCTGGATGTCCTGCATTGTTCCATTTTTTCCTTGATTTCAACCAACAGTAAATCCCCAGTCTGTAGACAGATGATGTTAGTTGATTGATTCATCCGGCAATGTTTAATTTTTTAAATAAATAAACAAAACCAAAGTGCTTTTACAACTAGATATATGACTTAATGTCTCTTGTCTTCAAAATGGTTACATCATGCACAACACAGCACACATATTACTGAAGACTTAGAGAACTAAAAAAAACATAAAAAACTCTAAAAAAGTTATCAAGTACAATGAATATAGAGGTAAACATACATAAATAATTTAATAAATAAAATAAATAATTTAATCCACCAAGTCAAAAATAAAATAATTAAGAATTCCATTGATTTGGGGTCATCTTTAATGCCTCACAGAATTAGAATTGATTATTTTCTATTTATTTGTTTGGTTTGTTTTTGTCCCCTGAAAGTGGACTGCTGTGAAGGTTTTATTGTGGGCCCAACATATTGTTATTACAGCAACAATGTTTCAATCCTTAAACAGTAGGCTTATTATTCAGTTACTGATTGTTAAACATACTGTTCAGTAATGACTATTAATAATTCAGTATCTACTATTAATTATTTCAGTACCTACTTTGAATTATTCAGTATCTACCATGAATTATTCAGTATATACTGTGAATTATTCAGTATGTTCTCTGAATTATTCAGTATCTACTATGATTTCAGTATCTACTATGAATTATTCAGTATCTACTTTGAATTATTCAGTATCTATTATGAATTACTCAGTGTCTGCTATGACGTTTGCTTCTTCTTTGCTGGTCCCGTAGACACAGAACATCATGTACGACCTCATCTCTGACCTGAATGAACGTGGAGAGGACACGGAGAAGCGGATCGCAGTCCTGGAGACGAAGCTGGAGACGCTTCTGAGCAACCTGCAGGCTCTGCCAGGCCTCATCAGCCAGCTGATCAGCCAGCAGCACCGCGACTTCCTGGAGGTCCAGCTGCAGCCGTACGAGCGCTCGCAGTCGGTGTCCCGCCGCCGCTCGTCCTCCACCGCACCCCCCACCTCCTCGGAGAGCAGCTAGAGGCCGCCCGCGACTCCCTGGCCATCGTATGGCCGGCCAAGTCACATTCTACTGTAAAGCCTTACGGTTTCAATGACGCATTATCCACAATTCTGATGACAGAATCTGAGCAGGGGGATAAATGCGGTTGAAATGGCATAAAACTTTCCTCATGTTTTTTATTTTTACCTCAGAAATGTTAGCTTTTCTCTGCTGACAGGTTCACAGAGAACTACAAAGATGGGGCTATCGCGAGAACGAGTCGCCTCGTGAAAGCAGTGTCACAACCTCTATGGCATAAGATAATACTGTGCCAGAATAGTGCTTCCTAACGGATATTCTGCTCTCTCTGCTTATACAAAACGACGCTGAATTCTTCCTTCAACCAGCAGGTGTTGCATTTTTTGTTTGTTTGTTTGTTTGTTTACTTGTTTCTTTTTGTTGAGGAAATGATTGAGTGTGTCTGAATCCATGGTCAAATGGGGATTAAACAGCTGCTGACCCACAGAGCTAACATACAGATTTCCTGGACTGGAGGACAAAAATGTATATCTTTTAGGTTAGGAACAGCATAAGCTACAGCGATCTCCTTTCGAGCCCCCTTCAGAAGTGATTATTTTTGGGGCCATATTGCAAAACAATTTACTGAATGCATCTAAAGCTATACTTGCACTTTTATGCACTTCGATACTGACTGACTATAATATGAATTTGTGTTGCTCATTAAAATAACGGTAAGGAAAAAAAACACCTTTAGTTATTAGATAATGGCCAGAATATTGACCGTATAGGCTAAGAGCAGGATAGCTGACTAAATACCCGTCCTTATAATCTAAAAATAAAAAAGGGACCTCAACCTGAAACTGTGCTTACTTCATAGATATTAGACTGCTACTATTATTGCTGCTTCATTTTCAAACTCGATTTGTCCTTAAAGGGGAATTCCACCAATTTCTTTTTCAATTTAGTGTATAATTCAGTGATTGACATGTAAACAAAGTCATTCAGAGTGGTTTGATGTGAAATGGTTCATTGAAGAGAAACGTACAGTATCAAATTTCTTTACAGTGGTGGTGAATGGAACCAGAAATCATGATGTTTATGCAATGCAAATTTTATTTACTATCCAAAATGACCCTTTATGAATGTCTCCGACATCAGGCAGCATATTTAGTAACCATTTAATGTAATAACTTTCTGCAAGAGAGCTTTTAGAGACGGACGTCTGGTTCCTATCACCACCATTGTGAACAATTCTTCCTCAGCAAGTTTCTCTAGAACGGAGCATTTCACACCAAACCACTCTGAATGACATTGTTTACCTCTTAACCATGTAACTATTTGGAACTTTTGAAAAATGGGTGGAATTCCACTTTAATGGCAAAGTACATATCTCTCTATCCAAACAGCTGAGTGCAAAGTGTCTACTCTGCGCTCTGTGTACAAATGACCTTCAAATGTCAATGAACAGAGATCCACTGGATGCTATTTATGGATGTATCACATCTGTTTAAGAGCAGCAAATAACTTGTATATGTTTGGAAATGCCTATTTTTGTACTCATGAGGACAAGCACACCTCCTAAAACATGTCTTTTTTCTCAAAGGATGTGACAGATAGTAACTGTGCCCGGCCGTGTAACTGGTATGTGGAACCAAAGCTATTAAACTAGGTGGAAGTGTTTGACCCTTGTGCTGATATTTGGGCACCCTGGAGGACCTTACTGCATAAAAGGCTTCAGGGGTGGTATGTTAGTCCTGATATAGCAGTAACAGTATTTACTGGAATGTTCTTTCGATTTCCATATCGTAAGCTTTGAACAGGATGCAATGAAGGTGGTAGACTGCTCATGGATGTTGAAGGGGTGCTTCAGTGATTTCAACCTAAGCTCTATCTGCTGTGCTTGTATCTTACTATCAGTTACCACAGACTATAATTTTAACACGTCCCCAAACTTAGAAAAGAACAGAAAACCTGTTGACTTGACAGACTTTTATAATAGAATTCAATGGGCAGCTGCCGAATTCCACAAATAAACATGTGTAATTTGTGACAGTGACCCTGTTCACACCTGGTCGTTTCATGTGAACTGTATTTGGATTGTAACCTAATAAGATTTTAACCACATGCATTTAGACTAAATGTGTCTGGTTAGTCAGATTGAAATCCGATTGCTGAATGGCATGTAATATCCAATTATCTATTAAAATAATGACATCTGTTTAAATGTAATCTGTATTAATATTATTAGCTTCCTGTATTAACTGTTGCAGTCAAGGACCACATGCATTAATATGTAATGTACTGTAGCGAGAAAGTGAATAATGATGAGGCGAAGTAAAGATTAACCAAACTGGAGCTTTATTTTAACTAGCTTGTGCTGAATTAAATTAGGAGAAACTCAATTCAGGAGCTGAACTGAAGGAGCAGTGATGATTCTGTTTAGGGGTGGAAGTCCTGTAAGCATTTTTTTTCCCAATATGAAGATCAGCAGGGGGAGGAGTCACAGTATTGGGAGGGTTTTTGGCTGTCGAATCTGGCTTGGAGGGACAGATGTGTTTACACTTGTTTAACATCTGGCTTGTTTCATATCTCGCATCTTGTTTCGTTGACATTTACATTACAACCCTCATTGCTTAAATGAGATTTTTTGCATAGCTCACATTTGTGTAGGTAAATGACTCAAATCTGTCATTAATATGAACAAACTGGTGACCTAAACCTTATTAAGTCGTGACCATGACTTAACTGTCCCGTTCCCACACCTTACTAAGTTGTGTATTATTACATATTATTTTTACTTACATAGCGTGTCACTAGCAGGCCTCCGTAGAATCACGAATCATGCAGCAAACAAACTAAGCAGCAGAGTAAACTAACCCTCAGCTGCTCTTTATTAGAGCAAGACAAAGATGAAAAAAGGGTCAGATAAAGGGTTAGTAAAAACAAACACATGAATTCCAATCTGAGCGTTTCATTAAGGTTGCAAGAATACAAAGACCTAAAGGGTAAATCAGTGATTGAGGTGTAAACATTCAGAGTAGTTTGGTGTAAAATGGTTGATTGTAGAGGCTCTGATTTCTTTACAGTGGTGGTGATAGGAACCAGGGATCGCCATGACTAAAACACAAATATAGCCATTTTATTTAGGTTCAAAATGACCAGTGACCCTACACGTGCCTTGGTGATGATGGTAAAATAGTGGAAAATCTGAACATTTTTCTTTGGGGACTATTTTGCCTTACAATATCCTATGTGTACCCATATACCATGACTGGATTTTTACAAAATATACTGTCTCAAAACACAAATAAAGTCATTTTATTACCATCTGAAACCACCAGTGAACCTTACCATAAGAATGTCAGACATCAGACAGTGTATTCATAATTATTTCATGTAATAACTTTTTGTGAGGGAGCTTTTAGAGGTGGACGTCTGGATCTTTTCACCACCAGTTTCTCTAAAAAGGAACATTTCACACCAAAACACTCTGAATGACTCTGTTTCCATCTTAGCCATTTAATTATGAAGAAATTTTGAAAAAATGGGTGGAATTCCCCTTTAAAACCTAAACAGAGTAAGAAGTTAAATGTAAGAAAATCTCTGTACTCTATTTGACAAATGCATTAAATACGTTTACACACTTAGCGCCCCCTGGTGGATCAGGGACCCTATGTGATTGCCCCACAGTTGAACAGTAATTCAAGACACTTTCGCTTTTTCTAATGTTTTTATGATATCCATGGTGATAAAACCACACCGCTACACTGGGAACAAATTAGCACAAATTCTTCCCTAAAATCTAGTGTCCTCTCTGAAAGAACCAACCATACAGATTTTCAGCACAATTAGCTCATTTATTTGAATTATTCCAAAGATTTCATGAAAGTCTACTAAAATAAACACTGACAGAATTCAGGAGTTGCCCACTGGCTTCCATTGTAAGTATACTGTGAGTCTACAGTTTTCTATTCTTTTCTAAGCACAGGAAAACATATCAGAACAAACATTTTCTGTGTGCTACAGATGCAACAATAGAGATCAGATTGAAAATATGCTGAAGTATTTCTTAAAATGTAGAATTCACAAAGAACTGTGGGTCAGTTTTGACCAAAGAGACAGACGAGCAGTTTTCCACACAGATCACGCTTAGTCCAAGACTAAATAACCCTCACTATGGATACCATTTTTAGACTAAGACTAAGCTTAATCTTCACAAAGCAGCTGTAGGAGCAGAAGGCGGCGTACAGTTCTCCTACACAGATTGGGTCAGTACAGTACAGCAGTTTAAAAGGATATTTATTTTGATTCTTTTAGAGACTCCTGTGACGTGTATCTGATACCTGGTGATTTGTTGCCAGTTGCTCGCATGTTATGGACTGATCTATGATTTCTTTGGATGCCCAACTCATCTGATGGCTTGATGCTGGAGAGACCAGTGCATTATGTAGCCTGACGAAGCAAAAACACGTCTGACCTGTTCTGTCAGGTGGATGAGGTTACACAGTGTTTGAGATCAATGGTGGATCCAGCAATTTCACCAACATTTGAGTGATTATACTGTATGCAAAGTAATTATGAACAATAAAAAGATACTATTTAGCAAAAAATGTGTTGGTGTCTGAATGTTGGTAATTATGAATTCAACCTGAATTACTGTTTTGTTGTGGCATTTACTTTTATCCAATTATTATTATTATTATTATTATTATTATTAGATTCCATGTTTTCTGTGTAGCAACGGAATTTTTTCGTCCCATAGCAATGAGTGTCAGAACTTTGTGGCCAAAAGTTAGTATACCCCTCTTATGTCACCATAGAACTACACTAGCAACTATGCTAGCAACACCCTAGCAACCACCTGGAACCAGTCCAGTTTAAACTATGCACTATACAAACTATACACTATACAAATGTTTTGCAATCATTCTCTTTCATAAAATGTGCACTGTATTGAGATGTGTCAAGATTTAATAAACAGTTTATGAGGATAATTTTTCCAGAAGACAATCCATACCATCCCTGCTGAAAAACACGCAGAAACCATTCGAAATTTCTGTAGATTTCTGGTGGCGTACAATAGCCACTAATGGTATTCTGTGTTTTCCTGATGGACTGACATTACTGTGTAAAGGGCTCTAATGGTTTAACAGGTGTTCTAGGACTGATTCCAGTTGATGCTTTTCTAATGGGATCTGAAGGTGTCCTACAAGAAACTATTGGTCTCAATACCATCAGGGTTTTAATCCTAATGGCTGTAATGGTCTTTTTTTCTGCAGGGATTACTGACTATAGGACACCACCAGGAACTTTTAATGGTTTCTATATTTTTTTTTCAGCAAGGCTTTATTATTCTCTATTCTAATTTCTGACGCCTTTTAAGAATTAGAACAGTTTTAGTAAGACAAGCAAAACATTGTGATTCACGAAAAGGGAAGGAAAGTGGTCAGAGCGCCCCCTGCTGTTTGCGTTTAACGCACAGGTTACAGTGAATTGGAGGTGAAGCGCCTTTGAATTGTAGTTCTCTTGTGATTTAATCTCTTTTGTTATATTATTCAGACAAAAATCTATATCTTATATTCATATCTGTTGAGCTTATATGGTCACAAAATTACAAGTTTCAGCTTTCGGTGATATTTAATCCGTTATCAGAAATGTCTCCATGGCGAAATGAACGGCGATTCAAAATGTTTTGAACGCAACCAGCAGAGGGCGCAGGTCTGCACTTTCACTCCC